GTTTATGTACAAAGCTCTCAGAAACTTATTACCTTCCAACATTCAGGTAAACTTTGTTAAGAGAGACAGTTATTATCTAAAAGGGGATGAAAATGTTTGTGAAGCCGTATTTTTGTACTTGCTTGAAAGAAAGATGTATTTTAATCCAAGTTATAGGATTATGGAATGTCTGTAAGATGATCTTAAAAATGCCAGATCAATGTATATATTTAAGAGACAGATAAAAGCAAGTTTTTTGAAGATATATGAAAAGTAAAATGTGAAGCTATTTGATTTGTTGAGTTGATGTTATGTTGTATTGTTTTTATTTTATTTTTCATTTTAAGTTATTTAATATTGTTTTGTAAATTATGTTTTGTTTGAATATATTCTGGGTCGAAAAGGGGCAAACAAAATAAGATTTACTCTTCTTCTGCTCCCTTTTATTTCATTTTATTTCGATTAGTTTATTGTTTTGGTTTTTGTTTATTTTTTATTATTGTATATAGCATTTTTTAATGAAATGAATACATTTTTGAATTGAAAATTTAACATTTCACTGGTTGTTGCAGGTTAGTCCACTTCTGCTTACCTCCTCTGTCACTGCTTCTTCTTCTGGTGCAGCTGATGCAGCTGATGGCGACTCTCCCTGAAACCAGAAAAGCAAAGGCATGACAAAAAGACATTCAAAACTGAGGAATTTGGGTAAAGCAGGAAGAAAGAGAAGTACAAAAGACAAGACAGCTCACATAAAAAACACAGGCCAAATGAGCCTAAATCGTAAAATTAGCAGACAGACACATTGAGAAGCAGCAATAGTTATGTATTTATGACTCCTGCATAGTAAAGAAGGTAAAGCTTTTGCAGAGCAAACACATGTATAATAAGATTACYATGATCAAAAAGCACTCGTTTTTTACCCTCATTTATTTTCAACTGTCCGTCTTACAGTTGATGCATCCATGGTTCTGGTCTGGATGCATCCTAAAACATTTTAATATTCCTTCCTTTTTTCACTTCTTAAAAATACATACAAAACATGTAGATATTTTTCTTTTCTGAACAAAATCTGTGCATGCTCTCCTCAACGGTTGATGCATCCACTCTATCACCCAGATGCATCTCTCCTCTTTTTTCTGTCCTTGGTTACCTGCCCCTCGTTATTATCCAGCTCAGGAGCTGCTTGAGTGGTGTCCTCTTCAGCGGCGTCAACCCGAGCCTCATCTGTTGGCGTTTCATCCGTGGCAGCAGGCTCCTCTTTGACTGGCTGTCCAGAACCATCAGCCCAGTCCTCCTGGGTTTCGACATCAGGGTCATAATGAGCCGGCTGGTTCCCATCGTCGCCCCATTCCTCATGGGCTTCAGCCACAGGGTCGTAGTGGGCTGCTTGGGCTCCGTCGTCCTCCCAGCCCTTTGTGGCAGCAGTTATGGGGTCATAGCGGATGGGTTGTGTCCCATCGTCCCCCCAGGCTTCTGCAGCGGCCGCAACAGGATCATAGTGCATCTGGGTTTTTTCTTGCCTGGCATCACTGTCCTCAGGCTGAAGGGCAAGGGTCAGGTTTCAAGCAATCAGAAGTCAAAAGACGTATTTTGTACTATACTACAAAGGTTTCATAAATCAAATGAACAACAAAAGGAGAGAAGGCAGGGTACAGGAGGGGGGAAATGGCCTTTTCAATGGTCAGTAGTGTCTGGGCAGTACCAGAGGATTGATTAATGTTTGATGGCCTGGTGGGATTGTATGGCCGGTATGATGACAACAATAATCTCAGGACCACAACAAAAAAATTTACAACAGAAAATGTAGGTATTTTTGTATCTTTTTAGGATAAACTATAAGTTGTTTACAGCCTTGTTTTCAAAAACAGAAAAAATCAATTATAAAGCACTTGATAATTATGTATGTGATGCCAGCAACACCGTGTTTCTTAAAAAAGCTTACAAAGGCATCAACACATGTACATTAAGTCATTTAGCAGATGCTTTTATCCAAAACTTAATATATGTGGCATTCAGACAAAAGTTGTGCATTGAGTATAGAAAACAGAAATATTGGGTGCTTTTACAAAAAATATATCAGTCTTCATCGGTGCTGTAACTTGCATGTTTACAGAGGCTAAATTAATGTTGAATTAACATGGCTTTGAGCAACACTTGTATTATTCTACTGTAAATATTACTGAAATCTTTTTTTCAACTAAGTTTGAAATATGTGGGAAATATTTCAAAAGGCCTTTGGAGGAAACAAGCCACATAAGAACTTTTTTTTAAATAAATCAATCAATAAGTATGATAAATGAAGCTCTGAACACCAACTGAAATCTATTATCCAGTAAGGGTTAGATTCGATTTGTCAACATCCAACCTAGTGATAAATGCGCCCGTCACAGTTTGGCAACTTTTTTGGAAACATGGCTGTATATTAAAAAAGAGAAAAAAAATCAAGCAAGGGTTTTAGCTGTTCATGATAAAACTGAAAAAAAAAGGACAAAAAAGAACTTGCAAATAAAGAGGGTAATACTTTCGTACTTGGGGTTTAAACATGGATACTTTTTTAGAAGAAAAAAAAACGAACTCGACATTTACTCAAATTACAAATAACTTTTAATATTAAATAATAGCAATTCTGACATCATGACTAAACTGAAAGCCATGAAAAGATCATGTTAAGACCCAAGAACACTGATGTAGAGTATTACCCTTTACAGAGATGGTTCAGATATAATCAGGGGGGGAAGAAATAAAGAAGGGAAAGTGTTTTTTAAACAGGCAGAAACACATAAAATGAATCATCAAGAAACAAGTGTTGAATCTTTTCAGTMTAAATATGGTTTACAATCCCACGGCCTTGTTCAGGTGTAAAATAGAAAATAGACTTTGTAAGAYTGGAGATGTCAATTCTCAATGAGCAAAAAACTCTTTTTCCTTAGAATATCCAGTGATTATTGAGATGCAATTATTTATTATTATTATTTATTTTTACAGTGGTTAGGATAAATGAACAGGTTAGTGAATTGTTAGAAGGACTAGCTTTGAGCAGGAATTTATGAAGTTGCCCATGAGTCATGGTTTGTTTATTAGTCATATTTGTAGAAAGACAAAACCAAAAAATAAAAATTGACAGCCCACATGAGCAACTTCAATTAACTTATGTAAGAAAATCCATCGATGTGTGTCACATGTGACCACAGAGATCACATGTAGGAGGTACATCTCTTGTCAGAGCACCATATGAACACACAACAATGTGAGGAGGAACAAAAAAGTTGGAAGGTTAATTCAGTTACAAATTATAAATGGGCACTTTTGCTATTTCTATAAAAAACAGTGATGTAGTAACCAATTCTTTATAGGCTTTGAGTTTCACATTGCAATAAAAAAATCATTTCACTACAATAATTGCATATAAAACTGTAGATCTATTCAACACGTGTGGCAGAGGAAAAAAAACCCTCGGAAGTCAATCAATATGATGTCAATTTGAAACTGAATTGACTCAAGCTGATTCCCAAAGTTCCATTTGTGTTGCACCACAGTATCTTCAGTGTTGTGTTATCACATCAAACACTGCAGACAAAGACAGCATACAAACAGATTTGGGACAAACAGGTGAAAGAAAAAATGTTCATGGAAACGTTTGTCAAAACAAGAAGAAGCACAAGGAGAGTATGGGTTATATGATGAGTCTATGAATGGACACAAATCTCCAAAGACTAAAAAAAATGAAAGAATGATGTAATTATAGATATTTTAAAATAACTTTTAGAGTTTTATTACATGACAAAGAAATTTTTTTTTACCCATGAGTCCCAGTTTGCAGGCTGTGGGGGCAAGAAAAAAGAGGATTAATTACTAAGTAATTGCTTTTTGTGCTCAAAGGAATATTCAGAGGCAGACCCCCATGCTCTGAAACAAGCCTCTCTGGATCTCCAGCAGAACAGGGACCACAACATTTCATCTAAAGTACTGAGGGATAAATGCCCAAAAAACAAGATTTTATTCAGTAACTACTGCATATTTGAATCAGCTTTCTATTCTGCAAACTGCTCTGTTTTTCTGAACCAATCAATCAACTCAGTCCTGTTCCTTAAACCTCACTTAGCAGCTTTGGCAACAAAATTAAAACAGGGTTCAGTTTGCTGTGTTTAATGACTTTCAAACATGTTTATTTTTAGTAGCAGAGTCCTCCGTTAACCAATTTAAATGTCTGTTTCATTTTTTTTTCAGTTTCACCAACACCTTCTTAAAACCATGTGACAGCACACAACATCAGCTAATATTAAACCTTTACACTCTAAGTTTTGTCCGCTTGCAAAGAGAAAGAAATAAGGGCGGAGAGGGGCTACAGTCTGGAGTTCATGCCGTAGGTGGTTTTGATTTTGAAGCAGGAGGAAGTGGTCACTAGAAGCAGGTTTCTACGGATCGTCATGCCACCATCCATCTCAGGTTTCGAAAAGAAGCAGTGCAAGCAACACCTCAAACTATGTCAAACTTAAGTGATTCCATGTTTTACTCAGACTCACCGAGCTGATTTTCATGAATTTATAGTCAACCAAAAGCTACAGCCCGCAAGATGTTGCAATTGTTAATTTTTTTTTGATTGGCACAAGCTCAACACCATGAGATGAGCTTATGATTCCATCAGAATAGAGCATGGAATCRCTTGAAAAGGCTGACATGTCTTACAAGAAGGTCTCCACTATCTCGGTGCTCATGCCAGGAWTCAACCACCTGAGTGACTGCGGAGACTGTGGCTGTCGTACTGAAAACGTCCAGATCCAAGTCCAGCAGGCTGCTGACTGCAGGACAGTCAAACTGACAACGACAGGAACAGGAGTGCTCATTGGCTAGTTGGGTTCAACAACAGAATAGAATAGAATAGAATAGAATAGAATAGAATAGAATAGAATAGAATAGAATAGAATAGAATAGAATAGAATNAACAGAATAGAATAGAATAGAATAGAATAGAATAGAATAGAATAGAATAGAATAGAATAGAATAGAATAGGTGTTCCAGAAAGCTAGGATTATACGTTCTGAGCTGAGAAAGGAAAAATAGTTAAATGTGTTACAGATTATTGACAACAGCTGCTCACTAACTTCTGTAGGGGAGGTGACGCTGATGTCTGGRGCTGCCGCAGCATCAAACAGGCTGATGATGTTCTCTGTTTTCATCTCCTTAGACGGGGTCACCTTAGGTGGAGGAGGCACTGCTGGTCTTAACTAGAAACCAGAAATCAGGAGAAAATTGTCAAGAGGTTTTGCTGAAAGCCAGTTCGAAATTTGATATTAAAATGAGACTCATCAGTGAGTCTGCATCTACTTTGGACGGAGATTTGGGGATTGGAGGCGGTCCTCCTGGTCTCAGGGTGTGGTTAGAAGCCTCTTTACCGCTGTATGAATGAAACAAAGACAGGAACGCTGAACAAATATGAGAATTACACAACAGGGAAGGTTAAGAAGTGGAAATAGAGAAAAGTTAGGAGGCATGCGGTACAAGCAGAAGTTATTGCAAAAGCTATCATGCAGGAAGAGTGAGCATCTGTTTCCTTTGTTCATCTCCCATCATGCAGCAGGCTTCGTCTGTGCCTCCAGTAAATCCTCATAGGTGAGCAGTGGGAGGGGGCATTCGCTTTCAGAGATGTTCTGCTGCTGGTAAAAGCAAACTCCAGCATWCGCTTCAATACACTTAATACTCTGACTTATTATTGCTTCACGCCGTTCAGCTCTCATTGATTGAGAAGAGATGCCTCATGGCTGTTATTTTTATTTTTTTAATATATATAGATTGCTCGGTGCAGCGTTAAAGAAATGCATGCAGGTTTGTTGAGCACACAACTCTCTCGTCTGTGAAATCATTTGAACGACAACAACAAAAAAAGCATCAGATCTCCWAAAATTTCTCAGGCTGTGGACTGAGTGAGGTACAGCAGCTGAGCAGAGGGCAGTTTGGACAGACAGACAGATGCTGTGGCACCAGGGTTACCTCCTGCTTGCTCCTGACGATGAGGTGCCAGGGTTATCTGGCTTTCTGAAAAGGGGAGGTTCAGGGGTTACTCCGGGTTTATGTCTGCTCATCATGTTACCTATAATCCTTCTTTTTGTTGATACCATCTCTGATTTTTAATGTTTCTCATAATGAAAACTAAAAAGATCAATCTTTGTCATAGCAAAATCATATTGCTGAGCTTTTAGCAAGCTCAAGTCAGCTGSTGGTGTTTGATAATAAAATGTAAAAAAGAACAAAACAGAACATATTTATAATGCTTTCTATTTGCCTTAGAAAAAAATTTTTTTATATGGAGACATCTAGGGACTTCAAGATAAAGCAAGCTCTAAAAAGCTAAACACACTAAAAGGGAAATAAATGGGTTCACTGAAAATAAATCTTTTCAAGTAATTTATTTTTCATTTTCACTTCTGACACAAACCTCTGCTTCATAAGTCCCTGAGCCAAGGAGTCACCAACAAAAACACTTTATTTAGTTTCTGGGGAAAACAGCTCAGAAGTGATTTACTGAGGTTTGAAAATCTAAAATAAACCCCGGGATTTTTTTTCTCAAATAGCGTTTTTATGTCACAAGTC